CGTGGATGCATCACCTCAGCCAGCATATTGTTCCTCCCGAGGACAGGCCTTGGGCTGAAGGTCTCCCTACACTGAGGACAGCTGTACGTTCCCTTCTCTTTTTCCTGGTCCCAGCATCCCTCGATACAGCTTCTGCAGTAAGTGTGTCCACACTGGATGGTGACGGGATCTTTGAGCAGGTCCAGACATACCGAGCAGTAAAACTGATTCGGCTCTAACTCGACGCCACACTGCGGCTGCCACTTCTCTGCCATTTGGATGAAATCCACGCGAAGAACACTTCTCGTTTTCTCTGAAAAAGCGGAGGTTTAAAATCATAGAGTTTCCGATTCATCATTACTGTACAATTTATATGATGTGGGAGTTACGAACTAGCAGATGCCACCGATAAACTGCACATTACGAAAACTTGTACAGAAAATAAAAATACCAGGCTCGGCAACAGACCACGTGAACTGGACGGACAATCAACTTTTAACAAGGAGACAAATTGGGTTGCAGAACCAGTAACATGTTTTTTTTTTCCCCTGGTGGCCCTAAGCCTCTTCAGTACATGATCTACTAATACACTATCTGTAATATGAGACCGACCAAATCAAAAGTGCAGTCCATTGACAGGAACCGCAAATAGTCGCACCTTATCTAGGAAACACTGTAATCAATTCACCTGTGAGCCAAGCGCGACAAACAATCCGGGGTCTCAACACTGATTGGAATTGGTGCTACGTGTCATGCGTAACAAGGGTGGAGGTGGCACAGCAACAACAGCAGCAGACCACAAAGAAGTTGATCCGCAAAGCTGGGCGTACTAGCCAAAACAAAAGTCGATACAGACGTTTCGACGTTGTGTGGATCTTCAGAACCACAGACGTATTAAAACACTCCTCCGAAGTGCGGGGCTAAAAACCCAGGTCACGTGACTATGACTAAACGAGATAATGGGTACCTGCTGCTTCAACGCATGCCAGAAACATTTGGAGTGGTCTCCCCAATTGTTTAATTGTTTATTTGATACTACCGCTTCTATTTATTACACATGCTCAAAAGAAAACAACACCATCTCTCTCATTATTATTTTTGCGGTGAAGAGCCTTAAAAACAGTTGGAAATCTGTGTGGTTATGTCATCAAACACGCAGTCTTTTCTCTGTATGTTTTACTTTATAAATGGATTTATTGTGAGCAACATGAATGTTGCTGAAGCACACTGATCACCTCAGTCACATCCTGCTGTCTGCAGCAGTCTCAATACTTTCTCTCTTGTTTGTGCAGGGATTTCTCCAAAACGTGCTGATCATAAGTATTGTGCAGGGATTGTCTCTGTCACTGTTTCGCAGAAATCTTTCAAACTTCTACTGTATTTACAAAAACAAACAAAACACAAGGTTATTTAGTTTAATTGTAACATTTAGTGATTAGTGTCTACATTTTTTATAAAAAATAAAATAAAACTGCGGAATAACATGTATATGTCAAACAGCTAACATAACATCAAAACATTTAATAAAAATGACTTCACACAAAATCTGTTCTGACACACAACAAGTAGATCACACGTCCTTTGCTGCCTGTTGAGATGAGCCATCTCAGTAAATTCAATCAAGAGTTGAAGAGTTTTCTTAAGTAGAAATGTTGTTTCTCATGTAGCATCAATGGTGAACTTTCTTG